CATTCTATGCAAACTTGTTTTCCGTTGCAACGGACTAAGTGGAAAATATACGCTTATTACATAGAATGTAGCATCAACTACACAGAAACAAGTATTCGAGTACGCTTACTCGCACTTACTCGCTCATTGTGGGGATTGCGTTGACATATTTATATGTAAACGTCACTGGCATCTAAACCGAAAACGCCATCTTTGGTTACACAGCAGTAGCTATTTCTGTGACAACATTTTCACTTTTATTTAAAATAAAATAAAAGAATTTAATTTTAATCCCACATTTTTTGAAAAAAATCCTCATTTAAATCATTGAAACCATATTTAAAATCATTTGTTGATACAAAATTCATTTTATTATAAATTTCCATCGATTTGAAGGAGCGAAATTGACAGTAAAGTACACTGTAGAGATCAAAGAAACAATACATACACAAGCATCACATGTACGCTTAAAGTGGTCATCACAGAAACGAAGCTGAGAATGCGCACATGTATTAGTATATTCATACACAGAATGTTTCGTTCTTCTGTTATAAAGTGTGATGTTTGTCTGTATATATTGTTTCTATATGTTTACTCCATGAAATCGACGACAATTAAAAAAATGAATTCAAAAAAATTGTTTTAAGTTTTGTTTTAATATTTTACCTGAGGATTTTTCAAATAGTGGGGATTAGACTTGAACCCTATTTGAATTTATAAAAAATTCGCAACAGATGGGGAACAAGCGATGGCGTTGTCGTAGATTTGGGAACGGACAATAGTCATCATATTACCGGGTTTGCCCCAGTAGCACTTAGACATGCTACTCGCTGCAAATGATTTAGTTTTCTCCTAGCACTGGCGCTTGTGGTACCAGTCCACCAGATAAAAGTTCCATATACAAGCATGGGCTTTACAACAGCTGTGAAAAACCAAAAGAGACATTTAGGAGATAAGCACCATGCTTTGCCAGTGGCTGATCTACAGCACCAGAATACTCTCAAGCAATTCCTTATTCTGTGTTCAATGTGGTTTTGCCAACTGAGTTTCGAATCAAGTATGACGCCCAAGTATTTTACGTTATCACTTCTTTCGATTGTTGAAACAAAAAGAGTTGGGTTTCTGAAACCCTGTAGGCTGCGATTTTTAGTGAATATAATCAATTCTGATTTTGCAGGATTTACCCTGCGCCCACCTCTCGACACCAAGTTTCAACCAGCTTTACAGCTGCTTGGGTTCTGTATGATAGAGTACTCATGAAATTGTCCCTACAAATAATGCTCAGATCATCCGCATAACCAATCGCTTCGTGGCCTTCTTCTTGAAGTCTTCTGAGAAGACTATTCACTACTAATAGCCAGAGGATTGGCGACAGAACTCCACCTTGAGGGGTCCCTCGCGTGGCGTGCACTGTAACAACCCTATCCTGAGCGCGCAAGGTTATGTTTCTAGTTCCGAGCATGGCACCAATCCAGTTTTGGATCACTTGGTTTGCACCCACATCTTTGATACTTCTATTTATGGCATCGAATGATACATTATCGAAGGCACCTTCATCCTTCGTGGCCCGAAGCATCCAAAATCTCTCTCAGATGTCTTTCAATCAATTTTCATCGTATAGTCATCCTTTCCTGTTTTAGGAATAAATTAAGCTTGCCAGATCGCCCGGATAAATCCAAATTTTCGAGGCCAAACCCGGATGAAAAATCACCCGGCCCGGATGCCCAGATCTTTAGTGTACGAAATGACACAATATTTCTCAAAATATCGGGAAAATTCAAAATAAAAAATTGAAAAATTTCCATTTTTTCATACAAAGTACACTAGCGGGCACTGAGTGCCCCCAAGACGAAGTGATACAATTTAGTAAAAATTTGTTCAGCCAATATTAATTTATTTTGTCAGCACAGTATACAAAACGTAGCTGCCGACCCGATGCGCACATTCATGTCTTCAGTTTACGATTAGACACAAGATTTCTCGAAATATCGCGAAAATTCCAAAAAAAATTCAATGGAATTTTGTTCTTTTGTTTGCATATCACAAATCGATTTACACACAAGTGCAGTCGCAGCTTTGCTTTTATGCAAGTTAATTTGATGTATGCTAATCCACGTCAGAGTGTTCAAATGGAGTGAAACTCTGGCTGTAGAGGCCAGATTGAAGTAATCATTGTTGAGTAAATTTTTAAGCTATTCTCGTGTTGCACATACCCCAACGATCATATATTTTTTTCCGCTCTTCCTCCTTCTGCAATTTTTCTCGATCTTTCCAATCATCTTCATGCAAACGGCGATGTCGTCCCGTTTTACGGCCGTAAATTACATCTATATTTGTAGAAAAACATTAAGTCAATAATAAATTTTAAAAATTCAATTATTATGCTCACTATTGTCCTTTCGTTTATCAGTCTTTTGCATTTGTCCAAACATATCATCTTCTCGTTTTCGAAACTGTTCATTTTCCACTCGCAATGCTTTTGAGTTTGACAATCCTGGTGATGCTGATAAACTAGACATGGCTTGTGCTTCACTGAAAATCCGCTTTGAGTTTCTTGGTGGTGATTCATCCGGACTACTGTTTATGTTTTTTAAGCGCCCTGGAGGAGATGTATCAGGACTATTTGTTACAATGTCCTGACACATCTCCTCAAAGGCGTTCAAAAGTTTTGAATAACTTTGATCTGATGAATTAAAATTTCGATTTGAACTTCGTCTTGGTGGTGATTAGCCTAAACTTCGAACCGAAAAGTTCTTCACCGAATTAAAACTTTTGAACGCCTTTCGAATGTTTCAAGTAATTTGAACATTTATTTTTATTTATAATTTATATAAGTTATATCTACAATATATTACGTGAATAATTTTTTTTGATTGAAATATCTGGGTTTTTCGATGAATTCACCATTTCATCACTTTCGACTGTTTTCCATTTTCCATTTGTTTTGTAGTCTTCTTTTGCAATAAGATCTGCTGGTCTTTCGTCTATAATACCTGCGATTTGTGGTAAATCTTCACCGAAAGTATAATTATCTAGTTCACATTCAGCTGCATGTGATATTTGTGATAATTCGATATCATCATCAACTATATTGATTCTGTAAATAAAATATGAAGATTTGGAAATCAATTGTAAAAATTTCTACTGCCTGCTGGTATTGAAAACAATTTTGTCGAGCCAATTCAGTGTAGTGTTAACACACTCACAGAAGACGTCAATTGTAATATTTGCGAACTCTGGTGGTGATTTACTAAATTACCACCATTACAATGTGTGGCATGGTGATTTTTGTATGTATTGTATTTGCTTTGCTGACCAATATTACTATCGCTCAACGCAGTGTTGGTGGTAATACTGTACAGCGCTGTCACAGCAAAGCAAATACAATACATACAAAAATCACCATGCCGCACATTGTAATGGTGGTAATTTAGTAAATTACTACCAGAGTTCACAAATATTACAATTGACGCCTTCTGTGAGCAGCAATGAAACGACAACAACAATAACACATATTTTTACTGTCAAAATTTTGATGTCAAATGGTGTCGACATTGGTGACGGTATTTTGAAACAGACTGTGTAATCCATATTCATCGTATATGATCCTATGTAAAGTTCTATACTTGATCTAGTTCACATTGACGGTTCAATTCGTTCATGTCCACTAGCGAGGACATGGACTGTGTGTTTCTTCTGTTACATGTACGTTGTAATGGACAAGTATAGTAACATGACGTAGTTCAAATAAATTTAAAAATCCGTCCACTCGTGTCGACACCATCTAGCACGGTAGTAGGGATTTCATTGCTGTGAGTGTTAATCGTGCTTAGAGAAATTGAACAGTGTGAACATGAATGTGTTCATTGTATTTCGCCCATTTACACTGAAGTTGTTTCTTCTCAGAGTGAATCGTCATTTTACACTTTGATTTTGCAAGTTCAGTGTAAAATGATTTTGCGTGAAAAAACTATTTTTTTTAAATTATTAAAAAAATTTCGTGTTATTATTTTATTGTTAAATATCCAATGAAAGATTTAAAACTTAATTTGGTTTGATATTGATTCAATTTGTAGTGAGTTTTTGCTCTAGAAAAAAACTAGCGTTGCGATGTAAAAAAACACAAACAAAATTCATCTCTCACGTTCATATTTGGGATAATTTGTATTACTTTTCAACATTTAATCGATTTTGTACATTGAAAGAGACTAAACAACGATTAAAGTGTTTTTATGCATTAAAATGTGCGACGGTTCATTTGAAAAACACACACTCTGCACAAGTAGTCATGTCTAAAACTTAGAACGGAAAATATACGAAAATCTGAACAAACGCTTAACAGCACAATATTCTGCAAGGGGAAAATCGGTACTGAAATACTAAATATACTCAAAAGTATTGAAAAGTACCGAAACGTACCGAAACGTATCAAAACATACCAAAACGTACCAAATAGGTATTCGTTTCAAAAAAAATAGTGAATAATAAATTCACAAAAAAAGTGAAAAAAAAAAAAATGCGATATTTTTGTGCACTATACCAAGTCTCCGAGATTTTCATATAAGGTTGCCATGTAGCAGCAGAAAGACAGTCAAAAAGACGAAAAAAAATTTTTTCAATATTTTTGTGCTCTATACCCAGTCTCCGAGAGTTTCATATAAGCCCGCCATGTAGTAGAAGAAAGACAGTCGAAAAGACGAATTTTTTTTTTCAATATTCTCGACTGTCTTATATGAAAGTCTCGGAGACTGGGTATAGTGCACAAAAATATTGAAAAAAATGTTTTCGTCTTTTTGACTGTCTTTCTGCTGCTACATAGCAACCTTATATAAAATTCTCAAAAACTTGGTATAGTACACAAAAATATCGAAAAAAAAAATTGCAACTTTTTTTTGTGCATTATACCGAGTTTCCGAGAGTTTCATACAAGCTTGCCATGTAACACCAAAAAGACAGTCGAAAACACGAAAAAATTATTCACAATTTTTTTGAAACGAATACCTATTTGGTACATTTTGGTATGTTTTAATACGTTTCGGTACTTTTCAATACTTCTTAGTATATTTAGTATTTCAGTACCGATTTTCCCCTTGATATTCTGTCTATAAACGATTTTTTTTAGTGTTTTTTAATGTTATATCATAGCTTCTGAGCAGGGGTCCGAGGGGTTGGATTACCCCCTCCTGGAGAACAGATTTGGGAATTACCCCCTTAGAAATTTCATTTTTGTGCGAAAAATATTCTTTCTACACTTTCTAAAACGGGAGAAAATATTAAATTTTGCTAGGGTTTTTGGGCGAAGAGAAAAATCTTTCAATTTGGTAGGGTTTTTTGAGGCAAATGCTCCGAGATGCTTTTCCTTCCATTCACCATCTCACCAGTACATCATCTCACCGATTTCAAGTTAATAAAGTCAAGCTGTGACGCTTAGCTGTCAAAAGCAAAAACCGACTATATTTTAGCTCTGTGTCTTTTGTATTTTTTAATTAGTTCAATGTTATTTAAATTAACCAAATATATATATTTGACGACATCGCGATAATTTATATTATAATTACATGATGTTTTGTTATTTTCTTGTGTTTTCGATAAGATATTGTGATTAAAAACTGAACATTTGTTGCATCATAGTGTTGTTGTTGTTCCCTGTGTAAACAGTGACTTTTTTCAAGCGAAGGAATGACAAAACATAAATAATGTTCGAGGGACGATTGTCCGACATCCAATGTGAAAACCGACCTGACCATCAAGTGTTTCCAATGTAATGGTGTGATTCATCTTTCGTGCATTGGAATTAACCTGAAAATTGGCCAAATTTCTTCACCGAACATTCGGATTTTTGCAATTCATGCACCAACGAAACGTCAAACGGTACCGAAAACCGAAAAAATCAATATTCGACAAATAATGTCCGAAGTGAAATTGCTCCGTGATGTCATTGGGGGAAATTCGAAAAAATTAGACTCAATTGATGAAAAATCAACTGGTATTGACAATGCAACATATAGTTTTGCACGTAATAAAAAATTATTATGATAAGTTAATAATAATAAGCATTCCCACCAATATCGTTATTAGGATCGGATCCTAATAACGTTATTATGATTTTATTAACTTATCATGATAAAATCATACTAATGTTATTAGGATTACATCCTAATACTTATTATGTTTTATCATAATATTTATTAGGATTCATCTTAATAAATACCGTGGACACTTCACTCTGGTGAAAATTGTTTTTGGCTGAATAACAATATGCTATCAAGTGAACACGGTTTTTATTAAGATGAATCCTAATAAATATTATGATAAAACCAACCGGCTAAGCCTATGAAGAGACAAAATGCGAATTCCCCTCATC